ATGGATCTTCAAGAAGAAGATTGACATGGATGGTAATGTACACACTTATAAGGCACAACTGGTTGCAAAGGGTTATTCTCAAACTTCTAGAGCTGATTATGATGAGACCTTTGCACCAGTGACCAAGATTAAGTCTATTAGGGTTCTGTTAGCCATTGCTACATTTCATGACTATGAAATATGGCAAATGGATGTCAAAATCGCTTTCCTTAATGGAAAGTTGGCTGAGGATGTTGACATGGCTCAGCCAAAGGGTTTTGTAAGTACAGAATACCCTAATAGGGTGTGTAAGCTTGAAAATTCCATATATGGATTGAAACAAGCACCTTGCAGATGGAATCTTTACTTCGATGAGAAAGTCAAAGAGTTTAGCTTTTCGAGATGTGAAGATGAATCTTGTATATATGTCAAGGCTAGTGGGAGTATAGTTAGCTTTTTGGTACTATATGTGGATGACATACTGCTCATAGGAAATGACATCCCAACCTTGTAGGAAGTGAAATCCTGGCTTGGGAAGTGTTTCGCTATGAAAGACCTAGGAGAAGCTGCCTATATCCTCAGGATAAAGATTTTGAGAAACATGAGTAAAAGACTAATTAGACTTAGTCAAAGTACCTACTTGGACAAAGTGCTAAAGAGGTTCAGTATGGAAAATTTCCAAGAAAGGAGAATTACCTATACAATGTAATGCCAGAATGAGTAAAACTCAGAGCCCGAGTACAGATGAAGAGATAGTTGAGATGAGTCGAGTCCCATATGCTTCCGTTATAGGCTCGATCATGTATGCTATGAATTGTACTCATCCTGATGTTGCTTTTGCTTTAAGCATGGTTAGCAGATATCAGAGTAATCCTGGAAAGGCTCACTGAACTGCAGTAAAGAATATTCTCAAGTACCTGCGAAGGACTAAGGACTGGGTCCTTACCCTTGGTGGGAGTGATGACTTGAAAGTAGCAGAGTATAGTGATGCTAGCTTTCAAACTGATAGGGATAATTTGCGCTCTCAATCGGGTTAGGTCTTTACCCTAAATGGAGGGGCAATTACTCGGAAAACTTCCAAGCAAGATACAGTGGTTGATTCCACTTGTGAATCAGAGTATATAGCAACAAGTAAGGCAACAAAGGAGGTTATATGGCTAAGGAACTTTATCGGAGACCTTGGAGTTGTATCAGCTATTAAGGAGCCTATGGAAATTTTATGTGATAGTGAAAGTGCAGTCGCCTTAGCAAAGGAACCAAGGGATCACGGGAGATCTAGGCACATCGACAGAAAATATCATTTCATCAGACATCGAATAGAAGAAGGAATTCTCCTGGCAAATAGGGTATCATCATATGAGAACCCGACAGATCCCCTCACAAAGGGACTAAATAGGGTTAAGCATCTTCAGCATGCTAGGAGCATAGGGCTAAGAGATGATATTAGTTTTAGAAGTTAGATTATTTTTGAAATATGTAAAATGTAATTGACATTTGATGATAAATAAAAGTTGTTATTTATGAGTTAAGTGTTACTATCTCTTGTCAATCATTTACTACTATTTATTTTTGCATGTTTTGACTTCCAAAATAATTATGTTATGATATATATATATATATATATATATATATATATATATATATATATATATATATATCATATTATTCAAATTCTCCACAGTCAATCATATGTTGGAAGTACATATGAATCAAGACTATCATGGGTTGGTGTGTAGAGGTCCAAGATGTTGGACAAAGGGGGCTACAACACTCATGAGTGCTCATAAGTTCTGAGTATTGGATTCAACCCACGCTCACTGGAATCACTTCATGGAATTTATCTCGAGTGATCGTGAGATGGTAATATCATACAAGTCTTCAAACTTATACATATGATTTGTTACCTATGATTTGGTTATGCATTGATTGTACGAAAATGCATTGGTGACTCGATGTTATAAAACGTATCTTTGTGTGTAATTTAACAAGTAGTAGAGCAAAAATATGAGTCGAAGTTTATTTGTTCCTTCTTGGATTAGAAGCGATATCTGGGCCCCTCGATGATTTTGTTTTGACCCATGTACCGGGCCCCGTCAGAACTGAATTGCTGTGTTCAATTAAGTTCTATGTCAAACAAATCGGAAATCGGGAAACAACTGCTAGACAATAGAAAGACATTGTTCCATGTGTTTGTCCGACTGATATCTAGAACAGAGGATTATATGATCACTTATCTAAAATGGCACACCATCGTCTTCTCAGTTCCGAGAGACCTTGAAAGAGCTACAAATGCTGAGCGGTTCCTGAAGTCATACTTGCAACTATAGTTATTAGACTTATCCAAGTGGGAGACTGTTGGATACAGTGTCTAAGTCCATAAGTATATTTGGTATGTACTTGACCCGACCCGGCATGGTCCATTTGGGTTGCATGGCATCATGCACTTGGATAGACTAAATGAGAGAAATAAGACACTTATGGTTTATTAATATATTATAAGTTCTAATATATTAATAATAAGAATAATAATATATAGTTAGTATTGATCAATAATTAATTTAGAATTAATTATGTGATCAAAAGAAGACTAATTAAATATATGGGTTGATTGTGTCAATCATCCATAACTTATATAGTGAGCCAAGGCTCCATGGATTATCAAGTTAGGTTAAACCCATAAGATGCTCCATGGATGCTCCATGGGGGTTACATAACCCATGAGTCATGGAAATGAAAGGTCATGACAATTAGGGTTTACATGGTGTAACCCTAATTGTAACATACTATATAAAGAAGCTATTCTTCACCATTTTTGGCAACTAGAGTGAATAAAAAGAGGGCTAGCCGAAAATACTAAGTGTTCTTATTCTCTTAAGAGTTTATTTCAAGTGTACTTGGTGTTGTGTGAAGCATCTGAGGCATCACACTTGAGGTGTTAAGCTCACAAGGTTTCAAAGGAATCCAAGATACAAAGAGGTATGTAATTCTTACTAACTATTAGAATAAAAGATCCCCATGTATGCTAGATAGGATTATGAACCTTGGAAAATCATTTTGCATGTATCTTAGTCAAACATAGATCCAAGGTTTCTAGGGTTGCATGTACACCATAGGAGTGTTAGACTGCTCAAAACCCAACAATACATTCAACCAATACTTGTATTAAAATCGTGTTTATGAAAGGGAGTATATACTCACTTGATAAGATGATTATCGGGCAGCACTACGGCTCTCGAAGTAGTAACTCTTCGGTGAAACCGAGATTCACACACCGGACTTCTCGTGGGCAGAGTTTCGGCTAGAAAACTCTTTTCTTCTCGTGATCTTAGGAGTGCCGGGACTCACTTCAGGTCTCAGGATGATATCGGGGCTTCGGGGGTACTTCTTTGCACGTAAATCGAGGTAATATGGGTGAGGGAAGAGTGAATTAGCAACCTTGGCCGGCTGCTCCTTTAAATCTATTTATAGGGCTGATTTCTCGATTTTCACATCGTGGGCTTGATCGTCACTGCATGCATCATCACAAGTTGCGTCTGTCAGGCTCCAGAAGTCATAAAAACTGAGTTCACGTCGTGAACACTGTGTTCACGTCGTGAACTCTGACACAATGTTGGGGTTCGCGCCCCGAACTTCAGAAATTCATAACTTTCGCATACAAGCTCCGCTTTCGATGTTCTTTTTTTCCATGCGTATGTAAAAACAAGATCTACAACTTTAGTTTAGACTTCGTCGGATAATTTTGACTTTAATTTTTATTATATTATTTTTAGTAGGCCGGGACAGGAAAACTCCATTATAAACTCATAACTTCTTCATCTGACGTCCGTTTCCATCTGGCTTTTTACCATTGAACTACTATCGGTGAGATCTTCGATTCTTATTTAGATTGTTTTAGCTAGAAATCTGTCGATCTCATATTCGAACTTCGGGCTGCATACTACTAAGCTAAAACTTAGAAAAACCATAACTTCCTCATACGAAGTCAGATTTGGACGTTCCTTTTATGCACGCTCTCAGTTTAACGTATTCTACGACGTTCATTTAGATAGCTAAGGCTAAATATCACTCTAACGTAAATTCACTATTTACGTCGTGTTGTGTCGTGTCGGTTCTGTCGCGAAACTTCGACATGTCATATCTTCTTCGTTATAACTCGGATTTCGGCATTCTTTATATGTACGAAATCCTTGTAGCATATACTAAAACTTAGTTAAGATTAATCCTTCTAAATAATCTTCCATCAAAAAGTCATTTTGATGCTCATTGTCTCTAAATTGACTAGCCATGATCTATGGGTGTTACAGGGGAGAATGGAGGTATGTACCATGGTTTCCGGATTGTACTATGATATTCCTGTTGATTAGTCTACTCATTTGCGGAAGGAGTTCCAGAAAAGTGTTGAAAACACTAATGTCGTTCATGGAATCTCTTGTGCAAGGTATTGGAGTCCGATTCTTCGTTATTTCTATGCTAAAGAAGGGATTGAGGTGTCTGATGAGGAAGAAGCTGTTGAGTTCTTAAAATATACCTTTCCAAAAGAAGTTAAGGATGATGTTGAGGTATTTCCAATCATTGTAAGAATTCCTGATGCAATGTTAAAGCATGTTGATCCAACCAATGTTGTATTAATCGCATATTCGAAGAATATTAATCCTAGAATTGAAACGGGGAAGTTATTGGAAAGTGCAGATGCTTGTCCTTCTAAGAAATCAAGGAAAACAAAGAAGGATGTAACAATTACTCATGAGAAACCAGTTAAGGAGTCAAAGAAACCAAAGTCACCAACGAAACAAACGAGGCCAAATGAGTCTGTTTCGAATGTTTTGATTGAGTCTGCAGAGCCTGTAATCGAATAATCCACTAAGGTAACTATTCCATCCAAATCAGGTGTCTTTTGAAGACATAAGAAGTAGTCTGGGGGTTCACGAAAATCTCCACCTTCAGCTACGGTTCGAAAACCCCAGATTACTCATCAGGAAGTTCTGATGTGAGATGTTCCAGCTCCTGTTTCTCCATTGTCAATGAAACGAAGGGCTGAAGATATGGCCAAGCATTTATCAAAGAAGAAGAAGACAAAGAAACGAAAGTTTGTTATTCTAACAGAATCTTCTGAAGACGAAGAAGTGATTGAAACTCCTGAAGCTACTCCTATCATAGAACCTTCATCTCCTAAGAAGACTACAGTTATACCACTCGGAGTTTCATCTGCTAAGTCATTTCATGAGGAGGCACGAACTTCAGACATCCCTACACACATATCTGATACAGATGTAAATGTCACTATGGGTGAAGGAGATTTACACAAAGAAGCCCCAAAATCAGTTCATGGTACTCCTGTTATTCTTCCTATCGAAACTATCACTAGTACTTCTATTTCTCTACCTCCACATATCATACCCAATACTTCATCCACTGATTCACCCACCTTTGAAAATATCATCAATCAACCTTTCACCACTATTTTCTCATCACAATCTACTAATCCACCACAACCCATGGAAGAATCTGAGAATGAAGAGACGGAGGTTTTGGAGGAACTTTCGAAGCCTTAGAATTTGATGAGGAAGAAGAAAACTTTCCTGACCATATGCTTATGCCAATGAAGTAGTTTAAAATTCTGAATAAAAAGATGAATTCTATTATTCATTATCAAGAAGATATGGGGGGAAGTAGTTCTGTTTCCAGTTTGGAACTTGATGGTCTGATGGTTAGTAAAGTGTCGGGCATGCTTAAAGACACAGAGCCAAGAATTTTAGAGAAGGTGGATCCTACTGATCAAACAACTGAGTTAAGAGTGAACTCTCTCAATTCGAAGTTTGTAGGGGCAGTAAAGGAATTGACACATGTTCAAAAAGAAAGACATACGTTATTTGTTCTTGATGTGAAAAAGGTTAGAGAAGATGTAAATTTTAAACTTCAAGAGCTTCGTGACGATATGGTAAAAGAGGTTGCTAGTGTTCAACAAGACTATGCAGCTCTACATATGAAGGTGGATATTATTTGTGATGCTGTCACAAAGTATGTCAGGTTGTACGAAAGTTTGAGTCCTCAAATTACTCAACTTTCTACAAGTGATAGTCAAAAGTTTGTGGAGGTTCTTTCGTTATTAAAGGAATTAAAAGACTATGTGGTCATGCCTACTTCATCTTCGATTATCACCCCAGAGTTCCTATCTCAAAAATTTTCTCAGTTTGAAGCTGTTCTACATAAGCAGTTGGCTCCCTTATCAAAGATATCAAATCTCCTACCAACGGATGCCCCACGTGTTCGCACAGGGGTGCAAGCAGGAGAGAGGAAGGTTGGTGATGCGAAGGCTAGTGGTAAAGCTTCGCATGAAGATGTTAAGGTTGTTGGCAAAAAAATTTCTTTGAAACTTCCATCAACAAAGCCAATCATTTCTTCTGCTGGGCCAGTTACTTCAACTGTTGTGACTTCAGTGCCAATTACAAAGCCAATTTCAAAAGGGATTGTAATTGGTTCATCTGCTGGCCAGAGTGGTGCTTCGAAAACAAAGGATGTGGTTGATACTTCATCAATAAAAGACAAAGGGAAATCAATTTCAGTGGAAAAATCAAAAGAAGAAAAGAAAGCTGAAGCTGAAGCAGAAATCGAGAAGCTAAGAATAATTCAAAGTATAATGAGCCATTGTGCAAGTGATCCTCCAGGAATAGATAAATGAGATCCAGGCAAACATTATAATTATGAGACCATTAAAGTAAAAGTGGCTTATAATCATATGTATGCTTTCAAAAAGAAGCCTAAACAAAGCTATGTGGTTACAAACACAAATTCAAGCCAACTTGACTTTCCAGTAAACGAGATGATGTTCATAATGCCTCAATTTAAGATTGGTGAGAAGTTCAAGAATGAAGATGAGTATACTTATATGAAAATTCAATTTCATGTTGTTCTTAGGAAAGCTCCAGAAGAGATTTGGTCTTTAGTGAAGATAAAGAAGGTAATAAGCATAAAAAAGGTTGTGTTGTTCGAGAACATGATGCAAAATATTCGATTCCATGTGGCAACGGCAAATGGTCAAGTTTGTGATTTTACTGTGGCTGACTTTCCATTGATGAACTTGTATGATTTTATACAAGTTGCATTGCTCTTAAGAGATAAAAACGCTTCATATCTTCGAGAAACTGATCCTGAAGTTTTTTGACTTGGATTTGCTCACATCAAGATATTTTTGGAAAATTACTATGAATGTTTGGCTCTTACTGATGTGGAGTTAGCAATTGTGAAGGGATTAGAAGTGAAAGATCCCATGGAACCGACAAAGTTTCAATCATAATTGAAGAAGTATGCAGATAGGGAGATTTGCTTAAAGCCATTTGGAACGGTCTTCGTTGGAAAAGATAAAAGTGGAAAAGCCAAAAGATTTTTGTTCCAAGCTTGCGAAGTTGAAAGGTACACAATGTCCCAGTATACGAACTTTATTGTTCGTATGAATAACTGCAAGAAGAATAATGAAGGGGACAAGAAGGAGCTAAAGAAGATTATTTCTTGGTACACTGAAATTCGAAGGGTGATGATGTTTGCTATACAAATTCTCACGAACTGAGAGAATTCGACTTTATTACAAAAGGGGAGATTGTAAGGGTTGAAGTTGTATTGTAATGAGTCGAAGTCTATTTAATGGACCCTTCGTATATTTTGTAATGTATTTACTAAGGTGTCTTTTGTACGAAGCTTAATGTCTATGCCTTAGTATTTTTTGTATGCTTTCACGTCTCCTATAAATAGGGACATTACTTAGAGTTAAATAAGAGTCTTGATAGAACTTGTCTATTTTACTCTCTGTAAACCGTTGAAAGTATAATTGAACTAAAATAAGATTATATTTACTCCTCGTGTTCATTTCATATTGATATTACTCTGATTTGATTCTTTTAACTCGATTATCACTTCATCAGTCTAAGAAGAAGTAGGGATGTGGAGCACATGAAGATAAACTTGATCATGGGGAATAGAAAAGTGTCTCCTGTCACCAAGATTGGAGTTTATTCTTTAATGCATTTTAGTGGGTTAGGGTTAGATTTGAACAATTATTTCTACTCATCAGATATGGCGAGAAACATTATTTATTTTCATGTTTGTATAAACAAGGTTTTAGATTTTCATTTAATAAAGAAATTGGTTCTATAAATGCTTTCTATAATGATAAGTTTCATTTTGAAGCACTGCGTTGTAATGATATATATGAGACTATGATGGTTGTAGACAACTTAGGAAATAATGTATTGCATATTGATTCGTTCAATGGTTTGGACAAGGCATGCTTGTGGCACAATCTCGTCTTAGACATGTAAACAAGAAATGCATAGCCCAACTCCAAGAGGATGGAGTGTTGGAGTCATTTGACTTAAAGTCAGATGACATGTGCGAATCATGTTTGCTTGGAAAGATGACCAAGTCACCTTTCACTGGTACTTGTGAAAGAGGTGAGGGTTTGTTGGATCTCATACACACTGATGTGTGTGGACCCTTCAGATCCACCACAAGGGATTCTAACCACTTCTATGTAACCTTTACCGACGATTATAGTAAATATGGATATATCTACTTAATCAAGCACAAGACGGAAACCTTTGAGAAGTTCAAAAAGTTTAAGCAAGAAGTGGAGAATTAATTGGGAAGGAAGATAAAGATGCTCCGATTCGATCGAGGTGGTGAGTATCTTAGTATTGAGTTCCACGACTATATTAAAGAATGTGAAATTGTTTCACAATTGACGCCACCTAGGACACTGGAACTTAATGGTGTGGCTGAGAGGCGTAATCAAACTTTGTTGGACATGGTTCATTCCATGATGAGTTGAGCTTTGTTACCTATCTTATTCTGGGGGTATGCCTTAGAGACTGCCTCCCATATCCTTAATCTAGTCCCAGCTAATAAGGTTTCCAAAACACCTCACAAAATGTGGACATGGAAGGTTCCCTTGTTAGCACATATCAAGGTTTGGGGTTGTGAGGCTTTCATAAGACGAGAGACTCACGACAAGATTGAACCTCGTAGTAAGAATTGTATTTTCATCGGCTATCAACAGAAGTCCTTTGGATATCTCTTCTACAGACCGAGTAACAATCTTGTCTTTGTTGCGAGGAGATGAGTCTTTTGTGAGAGAGAGCTCATATAACATGAGGACATTGGGAGGAAAATTGACCTTGAAGAACTTTAAGAGTTAAACGATGAAGGAATCTCTAACACTAGCACCCAACTTGAGGATGAGACTCCTGTTGAACCAGTTAACGGTTCCTTACCTCTGAGATGTTCCGGTAGAGTTAGCGTTCAACTGGTGTTATATGGTTTTCATATAATAACTGAAGGTGATACGTTTATCAGTGATATTACATTGCTAAATTTGGATGAACCTAATAACTACAAGAAAGCCATGGCGGTCCACGAATCGACAAAGTGGAAAGAGGCGATGGACAACGAGATTCAGTCCATGTATGACAATTAAGTTTGGAACTTAATTGACAATGTACCAGGTTGTAAGGCGGTTGGGTGCAAATGGATCTTCAAGAAGAAGACTGGCATGGATGGGAAATTACACACATATAAGGCGCGATTGGTTGCAAATGGCTTTACTCAAACTCTTGGAGTTAACTATGATGAGACCTTCTCACTAGTAGCGAAGATCAAATCTATAAGGGTTATGCTAGCCATAGCTGCATTTCATGATTATGAAATATGGCAGATGGATGTCAAAACTGCTTTCCTTAATGGGAAGTTGGTTGAGGAAGTTTACATGATTCAACCAGAGGGTTTTGTAGATGCGAAGTACCCTAATAGAGTGTGTAAGCTTGAGAATTCCATTTATGGATTGAAGCAAGCATCTCGCAGATGTAATCTTTGTTTCGATGAGAAAGTCAAAGAGTTTGTTTTTTCGAGAAGTGAGGATGAGTCCTGCATATATGTCAAAGCTAGTGGGAGTATAGTTAGCTTTCTGGTGTTGTATGTGGATGACATACTTCTCATAGGAAACGACGTTCCAACCTTGCAGAAGGTTAAGTCCTGGCTTGGGAAGTGTTTCGCTATGAAGGACCTCAGAGAAACTACTTACCTTCTAGGGATAAGGATATTGAGAAATAGGAGTAAAAGTATAATAAGAATTAGTCAAAGTATCTACTTGGACAAGGTGTTGAAACGTTTCAACATGGAGAATTCCAAGAAAGGAGAATTCTCTATCCAGAGCAATACCAAATTGAGTGAGACTTAGAGTCTGAGTACCGATGCCAAAATAGCAGAAATGAGTCGAGTACCATATGCTTCTGTTGTTGTCTTGATCATGTATGCTATGACATGTACTCTCCCTGATGTGGTTTTTGATTTGAGCATGGTTAGTCGATATCAAGGGAATCCTGGTAGAAATCACTAGATAGTAGTAAAGAACATTCTTAAGTACCTGCAGAGGACTAAGGAATGGGTCCTTACCATCAGTGGGAGTGATGACTTGAGAGTGACAGGGTATAGTGACACTAAACCTACTTTTAGTTGTAAAATAAACACACAAAGGCAGTGAACCTATCAATTGTGGTATAGTCAA